AAAAACCTTCCGTGGGTGGGGCCCCCTTTTTAATACCGGTGGTTTTTTCGGGGGTACCGGCCCGTTGCCGCCTTTTTTTTTTTTTTTTTTTTTTCTTTTCTTTTCTTTTTTTTTTTTTTTTTTTTTTTTTTTTTTTTTTTTTTTCCTCGAGAAAAGAGGGGAAAAGAAACCGATGCTCAAACACATATACCGAAGACATGAACTCATCAGGATTAAGAACGACGTGTTTGATTAATATGCGGACAAACGCGAAAATGAGACCCAGTGATATCATGGATACATTTCATCGTTGCACCAACGTTCACAGCTCCCACAACTATGCGGCATCGCTGAATCGACATCTATGCACAAACACGCATCTACCTAATCATGTCGGCACTTGAGCAGTTGAGCGGCTCTACACCATTGTACATACGCTGAAGTACCGAAGCGTTTTATCATAACCAACCCATAAAGTGCCTGATGCTCCATATTGTTTGTTTGCTTCATCTCACGGTTATGTATTTTACTCCTGCTAAAGAATCCTCCCTCGATGAAACACGTGTTCTCCCTGCACTGCTATGACAAGCCGGTATGCCTGTTACGTTACAACTGGAGGTACCTCGATCTAGTCAATGACATTACCAAAATTGGCACGAAAAGGGGGGGTTTACGAAACTCGAAGGATTCCTAAACACTCCTTACTAAGTTATCAATCGTTCACAGAAAAATGAACAATTCTAGCCCTATCAGAATTTGGTATATAGGAGGTACCTACACCTCATGCATGTCATGTTGACACAGTACCGCAATATCGAACCCCTCGGTTCTCATGCATTTAGGTATGATACACAAGCAATCCATCGGGTTACCAACGCCTACTTCTCTTTACTGCTGTTAAGATATGGATATGTAATGAGGAAGATGTCTTGGGGTGACGTGATGCCACACAGCGATCACTTACCTGGTATACGCATTATTACCAAGAAAACCGCCGCAAAATAAAACAAGACATCTCGGCTTCGACACAATCCGTCCGTATAGTATTTACCACACGAAACTTACGTCGTATATTCGATAGGACCCTGTAATTGATTCGCTTTCCAAGGTGGAATACATACGTACCTAACCTAAGGTTATGATGAAAAGATCTGCGCCGATATGCGCAGCTCACGAAGGCTTCAAACGTCATTACTAATATCTCAGAGTTGTACTAATTAATCAAATCTCAACCAAAGCCTTTTGGGGCATTCTCTTCGATCTCGATTTATTATTCGATCACTTCTATTTCGCGGATGGGACGTTCGTCCTGATTTACATAGTAGGAGATAGGCAGGCGTGGGAATATTGAAATCAACTGGACCGAGAAAATTTCCGTACTTGAAAGGAGTATATCTCATTTCGCTATGACAGACATTGACTCAGATAAGTTTAGCTTTTTCCCACACAGCTGCTGTATATACCTAACCTAGTATATTCTGAATGGCTTGAGTGGCACGTCCACCGCATGTTTTTCTTCTTGTTACGCAGAACATCATCCCGGTACAGGCCGCGCGCGAACGTTGTCTTGGCCCAGAAATAGTCCTGGCCTTCTTTTTCCTTTTTAAATCCCGATTTTTCCCGCACCGTTACGACCAATGAGGGATCGTGGCAATAAATTCGAGCGGTCGTCACCACCGTCGCCACCAAGTTTGCGGCGCTCTTTTCAAGCAAAATACGGTGGGTGGTTCATCCCTTGCGATTAGGTGTTGCGATAGTCTAAGGGAATGGAATGCACCAGTAAAATTGCTGGCCGTCGGGGTAGAGAAAAAAAGAAACGTGGGGTGCGACGGGCTTTACACAGCCGGTCACGCTCGCAGTTGATCCTTCACGATCAGCCCCCCAACTTCAACCTTTCCTCTTGGGTCTTACTGCATCCTACCCTCAAGCTATGATTCGTTTCCGCAAACTATAATCCCATGCGGGGTAGCTTTTCTGTCGTGCGACTGGCGCAGGTCGTTCTTCTGGACCCTGCGGGCGGGATATTGCTGTTCTTATGGAAATTGATGGCTTTGCGATATTTTTTTTTTCTTATTCTCCCACTGTGATGAGGGGAGGGAGGGGAGAAGCTCGCCCTTGCGGCGTCTATATCAGCCCGGTATCCCGTAGCAAAAGAACTCAAAAGTTTTGGGGCATACTTCTTCCAGCTTTATTCCCTTTCACTGCGAATTCTCAGAGAGAAAATCAGCAACTGAAAGGATTAGTCACTGTATATTATTACGATCTTACCACGTTACGAACGAGAGCTTTGAATTAAACACCACGTTGCGTCTCAACATGTATGCGTCTCACTGTTGCAAATGCGGCGGCATCTTCGTCATTAACACGAACTGCGCTTGGTGCAAGCATAAGGAATGCTCCGACTGCCATTAAGCTTAACTAGTCCTTAGTGACGGCGATAACAGGTAAAGCTACCTAACCTACCTATTACCTAGGGATATTTTTGATGAGATCGAAACGGCTGAACAGAATGTAGTTTTCTCGTCTCTTCTACCGAAGTTCTGGATGAAGCAGATCTTCAGGTAATGTGAGCAGAAATGTCGTCACGCATAAAAGCGGTTATGTATTTCGCGGTGGGACATCTGTAATATCATGTCTTACTGTACCAATATTACGATTTACTTTGTTGGTTTGACTGGGTGACGGGGCTGGTAAACGGATATTGGACGATGGGCGTGTAAAAAATCAACGGCGCTCTGGGCTTTTTTTTTCTCTATGGCTCGTCGTTATGAGCAGGCTGGTTGGTTTGGATCTATACCCGTCTCATGCACACGGCACTGCTTTGACTACGACTTCTCATCGTTACGTCAAGGCGCGCGATAATCTATTAATGTAATTGATGGAGAATATGTGTATCTTTACCATAAGCAGTTACGAGTCAATGCAACTACTAAATTCAACTCCTAAGCTTTTTAGAATGAGATCTCATGCTCCCTCACTGGAGAACATGATGCCAAAAGCCGGCCTGGCAACCTGGCCGGGCGATACTTGGTGGCTACAGGCATCAGCAACATCCTTGACATTTGCCAATCAATACTCTATTCGGTCTATCAAATTCGCTAATGGTTGGCCTGCACTAGTACGAGATTAGCGAGGTGACAAGTGTAAAAAGAGTTAAAAAGGCCCATTGTGTCTGGTTGTTGTTTTTTTTTCTCCTCAAGCAAACGTGACACAGCATAATCAGCCTCACCAATCAGCTAGTTGAATAATTAAATAATTCAACGTCCTAGGTTTCTATCGTAGTTTGACTAATATAGTTTGCTTCCTTAAACTTCACTAACCCAGGAAGTCAAGGGCGAGCGTCGCAGTTCGCTAAACAGGTACCTAACATAAATTGCATCGCCAAACCCGAACTGCTTGGACAGTTGGATCGCTTGGCGCCGTGGATTGTACTATTCTCGGTCGATACCCCTGTCCCGGGGGCCCTCACCATACATAGTAAAAATGTTGCAGTTGTATAAATACAATAGTTACATACGTGCCTACCTCCTACAACAACTCAGAGAATAAAATAAAAAGAGGCTTCTTCTCTAGGTAACCACATATAGACGATATTTCATGAATCATCCACAAAATAGTTAGCATGGTGATGAAAAACAAAACCCGCTTGCCTCTGAGCTTTACATCTAGTTATGTCGTGTAAAAAGCGGTACAGTGGGTTACCAAAGTCTGTGTGCACTGGGCCATTTTACACCAAAACTCAACACTTTCAACAAACGATTAAAATTCAAAATAAAATCGTAAAAATATTTTATTTTATGTAATATTAAGGTAAATTATTACATTATTTATTATCTTTCAAAAAAGTTTTAAAATATCTTCTATTTGTAATAATATTTGTAAAAATATTAAAGGTATTAACAAATATAAAAGGTTAAATGTACTATGTCATATAAAATAATAAAAAAAGTATATAACCCTTTTAACTTTTTCATTTTTTTTTTCATTTTTAAAGTTACCCCAAACACTCATTTTTAATGTTATTTAAAAATAGAAAATACCAATAGTTTATTTAATCAAAATGTTATTTATTAATAAAATTATATTTATTTTCACTATTTATCTTGAATATTTAATCGTTTGTTGAAAGTGTTGAGTTTTGGTGTAAAATGGCCCAGTGCACACAGACTTTGGTAACCCACTGTATAAGCCACGTTGAAGTTTCGTTTTTCGTTAATCCCTGGTCGAGTCCACCATTCGAAAATCGAACAATGGGCCATGGACGAATGGGAGCGCGAAAGCCTTCCAGAATTGGCAGTTAACCTAAAAAGGAGCCCTCCTGAGCTGTTCATGTAAGGAAGGTTAGGAGGTTTGCGATGGTCTTAGTTGCTTCACTGCCTCAGCGCCGCATCGGCGCTCCCACTGATGTGGGTATGCGGGCAAACAAAGATGTAGTTATAATCTTGCATTCACCGATTGTTTAATTTGCGATTTGTTTCCCTTCATATGACTCAATTTTTTGCGGTGTTGTAAAAGCAGGACTGTCTAGAACGAGCTAAGTATAATCAAACCGACTATAGGAAAATACATCGATTATACTACTCAACCAGAAGCTTATTTAAATCATCATATCCGCCATGGTAAATTCTCACGTCAAGTAACGGTAGCATATTTTTAACAGTCTTTCAGGTTCTCAAACAATATACACTAGAGATGAGGGAGTACTCCTCGGCATGCTCCGGGCAACCTATTGCCATGATGGCGGACGATGCAGCTTTGAGCATACACCATATACCATCACGCGACGGGTTAATAGTTCGAGTGCAGCCGCCAAAAGACCCGGTGGATCCTCAACTTCAACATATCCCTTGTGATATCGTTCTAGTTATAGATGTTTCCGGCAGCATGCAAGCCCCTGCTCCGGCGAAAATGATAGGAGACGATGGGAAACCAAGTTCTGAGCATTTCGGGCTCTCGATTCTTGACATGGTGAAGCATGCCGCACGTACGATTCTAAGTACGCTGAATGAAGGCGATAGACTTGGTATTGTGACGTTCAGCAGGGAAGCGCGGGTGGGTTTCTAACGTACAACAGACGTATATGCGTTTCTACTAACCAAGCTCGGGGTCTGCAATAGGTGATTCAGAAATTGTTACCGATGACGCCTGAGAATAAAGAACTAACTCAGAAGAACATTGAAGGCATGAAACCTGACAGCGTAACGAATCTCTGGCATGGAATCCGGGAAGGCATAAATCTATTTGACGGAGAGGAGAACACAGGCCGAGTGCCGGCAGTAATGATATTAACGGATGGATTACCGAATTATATGTACCTACTATTAAAATCTCCCCCTTTTCTTACCACGCCAAGTTCCGCTAACATTGCTGGCAGGTGCCCTAGCCAAGGCTACATCTCTAAGATACGCAGCACCTGGGAAGCTCTCCCCGCGACTCTTCATACTTTCGGGTTTGGTTACGAGATAAGGTCCGGCCTGCTGAAGTCCATTGGAGAAATTGGCAGCGGCAACTATTCGTTTATTCCTGATGCGGGCATGATAGTATGGCATCCCACTTCGTTCCCTGAATGTTGGCTATCTAACAAGTCGTAGGGGACCGTTTTCGTTCACGCGGTTGCTCATCTTCAGACGACGTACGCAACGGGATGTACCCTTCAAATCACTACACCCAAGGGTACTCGCTTAAGAACGACAGCGGGTAAGGTTATCGACAGACAGGATCAAGAGGAAGCAGACTTTAATAGACTTGTCATCAAGCTCGACAATTTACAATATGGCCAGTCTCGAGATATATATCTGGAGAATATTAATAGCCAAGGTTACAGAGCCGCATTTGACTCTTCCTTAAAGGAAACCGATATTGTAGGGGAGCTCAGGTACTCGCGGATGAGAGCCGCGGAGTTTTGCGTCTTAGCCAACTGCATCGCATTTGATGCGCCGGTACCTCAAATCGCCTACCATCAGAGCCGATCGATGATATGCGACTTCCTCTCCTCCTTATTCTCACTCCAAACCGATGGCGAATACAAGACTTGCAAGGATATCAACTTGGAGCACTACCAGCAAGCATTCCAGAAGCTATTAGACAATATTCCCGCCAAGTTCTTTGACGATGATTATAATAAATCTCTAATGGCGGATCTGGTGGGTGACCTTCCGTCCGGTCAAGTAAATCTCGCTCTATCCAAACCGGAATATTTCCGTCGATGGGGGTGCCATTACTTCTTTAGTCTATGGAACGCGCATTCAAAACAACTGTAAGTCTCCTTTAACACAAGTTATTGCCAGAATAAAAAAATAGGAGAGGGGAAATTATTTACCACTTTCTCTTGATGGCTGACAATTTACTACAGATGCAATTCCTTCAAGGATCCTGGCCCCTTGATGTATAACAAGAACCAGTTCTTCGCTAAATGCAGAGATGCTCTCGACAAAGCATTCGACACCATACCACCGCCGAAGCCGTCGTGTGCCAGGGTGGCTACTACAAGATACATAGATATGTCTAGGCTCAATTCGAGATTCATGCCTTGTTTCACGGGTTCGAGCAAAGTTACGCTGGCTAGCGGTCGAAAGGTGCCTGTTCGGACCTTGCGAAAAGGCTCGCGAGTACGCACGCCCGTCGGAAGTAGATGGGTCGCGGCTGTGGTGAAGACATTGGTCCATAGGACCGCCATGTGCAAATTCGGCGATCTCGTCGTCACACCTTGGCACCCGATCCGGATAGATGGCATGGCATCCGGATGGATTTTCCCTGCCGATTTGTTGCTTGGGCTAGACCATGGCCGGGTTGTGACTTACTCCGGAGCAATTTACTCGGTACTTTTACAACCGGATCTCGACACCGAGGCCCACGCTTTGGAAATAGGAGGTATGTGGGTGGTTACTCTAGGTCACGGCGTGGTACGAAACGATGATGTCCGCGCCCACCAATTTCTGGGAGATTATGGGAAGGTAACGAAGTCTATTGCGACTCTCTCGCATGGAACAGACGGTATTGCGCTGTCTGGTGGGGTGGAAAGACGGGATGGCGACGGTTTAGTTTGTGGATTTAAAAAGTATCTACCTTGAGGACGGTTAACCTGAAGTTAGAGATTGCTTTCATCGTCTCTTGAATAAAGGGGCTAAAGGACTATTCCGAAAATAATCACGGTCCATCTGCCAACCTTTTACAATCCAATCTCTCCCAATTCTCATGGCGTCGGTGACTTTTTCTATAGGGAACTGGAGGGGAGCAGTTGGAGCTCGTCTAGTATACCAGCAGATCAATTGAACACCGGCGTGTATGGCTGTGCGGAAAGCGAGCTCGTCATCTAGCCCTCCATACCCGTGGATGAAGCCTTCAATTGCAGGTAAAACACCATCGGTCTTGAAGAAATGCTTTCGCTCGTACATATCACCGACCATCTGCCCGATATCATACGCGCGATGGCCAAACTGGACAAATTCCCAGTCGACGATGAAGAGCTTGGCGTCGCCCGAGTTTTGAGTGCTTAATGACGGATCACTCGGGAGCAGAACACTAGATTTATCAGCTTGATTACTTGCTTACGGCGGCGGAAACGAAGAAAAGAAAGAGGCCATCTATATACTTTCCCGTCCAAAAATCACCGTGTATGAACCCCCAGTGTTCATCCCAATCGCCGTTTCCGGACGTCCTTTGAAATTCCCTCGTTGCGGTGGTTTGAACTTCCTCTAGAATCTCCCGATGTCCCTCTAAAAGTTGAGGAAAGTTGTCCTCGAGAACCTTTAGGTAACTGTCGTAAGTTATGGCGTATTTTAGCTTTCGCATGGGCTCGTTATCACCGATGGCCTTCAGCTCGGTGTTCGGGGAAGAGGCCCACGCATGGAATGAACGCAGCCAAGATCCCACGTTATAACCAATTGATGCCGCAGTTGACGCCGTGAAAATAGTGTTAGCCGTTGGTGATAGCAAGATATTCTTTAGATCAACTGTCGCGGGGAAATCTTCTAATACTTGGATGTTTGCATCGCGGATGAAGAGGTAGAGTCGCGGCGCTTTGACGGCCGTCGTGCTAGACGGGAAGTTGGCCAGCGCATGAAGCATAGACTCCTCGTAGAACTGGACAGTATAATGTTACTCATTTGTTAATAACTCCTTTTCTTGTAAGTTGCGTGATGCAAACTTAAGGGGTAAGAAATACATACGGCACGTGACGCATCGAGGGAAAAGTCCTTGTTAACGGCGGCAAAGTCCGTGGAGTGTTTAATAATAACAGTCTCCTTGGTATTCGAATCCTCACTGTCAGCACGGATGGGATGGACTAACTCCCCACGATATACAAAGTTAGTAGTTCCGTTTGTTAGACGCACCAGCGAAGAGCAAGCGTAAGGTGTCTCTAAAAGCTCCCGCAAAATGTTAGAGACAATCGCATCTTGTTCCTCTTGGTTAAATGGTGCCATGCTCTTTCGAAATACGGGCAGTGCCACTCGTGAACTGTGCCTGAAAGTGGAATATGTTAACACAACCACAACGGAGTACAATCTCTCAAAGGCTACGGTTCGAATCTTACATATCCTTTTTTTTTTAGAATTCCGCCGCCGCAGGCGGCGCGAATCCGGCTGGTAGCACGTAATATGAGTAAAGCTTAAGGGCTAGTTAAACTCGGGCTATTGTGGCACCCCGCAGTGGCGCCCTCAAGTATATACGGCCGAGTTGCTTAATCCGGACGAGCTGGGTCAATACAATATCCCGAACAAGTTCGGGCATTCGAGCCGATCGCAGCCTTAATTAAAACCGGCTTTAAATTCGAGCCGATCGCAGCCTTAGCGTAAAAAATATTCCAACCCTCTCTATTTCAACGATATAACCGGCTTGAATGTCGAGCCGATCAGGGCCTTAATAATGTCGATATAGTTATCCCGTGAGTCATTGTTTTATGCGCCTGGGATAATCTTGCCCCGGCTGATCTTGGTTTAAGCAAATATTCCGAATATTCTATGTAAAAAGTCGCCGAGATGACAAGTTCAACGATATTGATATGTACGCATCATACAACTACGCTGATATCAGCAGGAATCGTGTAAAATGTTGATATAAATCCTCATTTCCGCATCGAGCATGCAATGTTTACCATTAAGGAGGCAATATCAGCAATAGGTAGGCCATAACGTTTTTGCTACCTGATTCCTCCCATTCGAAATACCATTCATCAGCAACCTCTTTCGACGACCATGGGCGAGAATCCGAGATCGCGGATTCTGATTATCGGCGCTGGGTCTATGGGAATCCTCACGGGCTATCACCTAAGTCTCGCTGGTGCTGATGTGACGTTTCTCATCCGCCCACATCGTGCGAAATTATTGGATAGTCCTCAGATGCTCTATTGCTACGATGATAACCAGTTGAAAGAGTATAAGCGCTATAGTTATATTACCGACCCCTTACTGATAGCCGGGTCAAACTATGATTACGTCGTTATTGCGCTTGACGGGGTGTCTTTACGGAACGAGACCGGACTAGACTTGGTGAAGACGATAGGCGACGCTACGCGCGGGACCAATACGAAGATAGTCCTCGGCAGTGTATTCTTTGACTTACGGGCTTGGTTTCTTCAAGTTTCGGGGCTGGCGGACGAGCAAGTAACTAACGGGCACCTCGGCATCCATGCCTATTCCACGAAGGCTGTGACTCTGCCACTAGAGACTTCGACGGATCCAAACCTCATTTCAAAGGCCGACTTTGCCTACATAGACAAGCTAGATGACGGCTTCACCGTCGATGATAGCTCTCCTGCCGTCGCGAACGGCTTTGCCAAGATCTACAACGCATGCGGGATTTCGCACTGCGCCGTCAAGTCCGCACCAGAATACGCCGTCACCATAAACCCCTTATTTGCTATCTTCGCGGCATGCGAGCTATTTGACTGGCCTAAATTTCAGGATATTGGTGATGAAGAACTATGGGGTCTTGTGGTCTCATCCGTGAGGGAAATCCAACAGCTTGGTATTCATGGGGAACTGGGCAGGGAGTCAGCTAGGATAACAACCGAGACTGGACTCGCTGCGTCGCTGGCGGCGTGGGAGAAAAGTATGCTCCCGCTCGACCTACAGGCGTTCAATCGCTTCCATCATGGCGAGAAGTTGAGAGCCCAGGATCGAGAACACTTGCAGGCTTGTCTTTCGTATGGAGCAGCGGAGGGGAAGCCAATGCCAGCACTGAAAGATCTGTTACGGCGTGTTCAAGAACACGAAGTGGTCGCCGCTCAGTGATAGATAGTATCAACCGTCCTCATTACGTAGTGGGAAATATGAGGGGTATGTGTTACTTTCAGCGTTATACTGTAGCTATTAGGTGAATACATAGCTTGTTTTAGGATGTGATGGACATATGATGTTCTTAATTCCCTGTGATTCTTAGAAGTATTGAATAGCTTGTCTTCTTAACTGTTAACTTATATCATCATCTAAAAAGTGCAGTGGTTGACTAACGTTCATATCAGGTAGCTAGAAAGATAATAGAGGAAACAAAACTAAGCTCTAAAAAAACAGGCAGGTTATAACCGAGCATCCCTATGCTCACGAGGAACATCTTAAATAGAGACATCTCGAATGATGTTTAAGTTACGTCTTAATGTCATACTGCCATGAATTTAGGCACTCGCCGTTATTCTACGGAAGGCTTTTGGGGCATATTCAACAACACATGGGAGAAACATTTGGTATCACACCAATCGCGACAGATGAGATATTCTCTATTTGGCAAGACCAGCAAAATAGATGAATCGATCTCCAAAGAGTTTCCAATGATGAATAAATACCACTATTCGCTGAAATATATAAATCTGCTTTTGTGGTTTATAGGTGAGGAACGGAGTTAGGGAACTAAGTGATTGACCGTCAACTTAAAAAGGAGATACAGGTAGGTATAAGAACTTCAACTTACTATGTGTTAGAGCCTAGTACATTGCGATGAAATATTGACTCGTCCACTTATAAAGCCGTCGAGGTAATCGGTAAATTGATCGCAGATTTATTAGGTGTAGTCTTGGTGACTGTTTCAATTGGAATGGCGGAACTGGATTTCGAAAGAAATAGGCAGGCTGACAATTGGCACGCTTTGGCTGTCGCAAATACCTAACATGTCACAAATAAAGGATTTTACGATGAATGGAGATTGACCTTAGGAAGTCTTCTCTTAATGGTTCTAAAGCTATCGTTTATCAAATGTCGATATTTCTGGTCGCTGGCGTTCAGAGTTTACGGAGCAATAAGCCGGTAGTTAGTAAAAGCACAATGATGCCGTTAGCTACTAGATTCTGACTTACCTGCAACATATACAAGATAAGTTAGACGAAGTATCGTAGTTACTCGACCCAAAGAGGTTATCTTGTCATCATGCTAAAATAACTTTAAACAAGCTCTAAGCTCCATAATTGAAACTCCTGTTGACATGAAGCCATCCGAAAGTCGAAACTTGAGTGCAGCCGGATATGAGGTTCAGATGCGGGGGGAGTAATTCCTTGTAGAACCAATAATGTGAAGAGGATAAGTGAGTTTGGACTCAGCAAGATCCCAGATGGTAGGTCCTCAAAACGTAGCGCAATGTTGATTCCTTAGTGAAAGCAGTGAGAGCCACGTCAACCAGGAATTTATTGCAACGATTTCGTATATTATTGTATAAACTATTTGAAAGTGTACTGTTAAGCTCACTTGAAAAGTCATGGAATTTTGAAATCCCTTAATGGGGTTCACACCTTTCTTGCTCCTATCACATTTCCAACCTCACGCCCCCGGGTGCCGAGTAATCATCTACCCAAGCAAGAAGATTTTTTTTATTAACAATAAGAAAAAACAGGAAACATACTTGACTTCTGCCTTGAATGACATGGACCATTGTGGGCTGGAACTAACTAAGCCTACCTAAGCTTGCTAAATCTGGTGACCGTATCACTGGATTTGGGAAGAGGCTTTATTCCATTCGCAATGCGTGGGGGGTATTTTGAAACGATTGGTCATTGTTATTTTCTATTTATTATAACCATGTACGTAAGGTAATTCGAACAGCTGTGGAGAAGGATGGAAGCGATTAATGAATTATAGAGAGGGATTTTGATATCTCCATCAGCTCACCCGTATTAGAGCGGCGTCGAAGTCAACTCGTACATTTTGGCCTATTGACTTTGCATATTTTCTGGCTAAACTCGAATATTTGTGGCCATTCAGGTTTCTCCAAACTTGGTCTTTGTACATTTTGCGGTGATAAGCTGTGGTGCTGTACCTTCTTGGGCGGGATTCCAGGGGTTAAATGTAGAACCTTGATGGCCATCGCCATGAACACTTAAACCCTTAGAAGTCCCTCGCAACTCAGCTGTAATCTTTCCCACTACTATCATAAAAGTAGGATAATTTGAATCTGTGGGAAAAAAATAAAAAGCAAAAGTAACTCCGTTACCTACACCAGAGATGTGTTGTTACACTCTGCTCGAAGTGTTAGTGACACTTATCAACAGACCAGTCCTCTGGAATCCTCACACGAAAAATAACGTAAGAAAAGGAATACGACCGAAGCCAACGTTACATGACCATGTCACATGCGAATTAAACAGCCCGAAACAGTTACAGCTTCTAGATTCTGACCTAGTCCATCCCACATCGACAACTTTAAGTCGGCTCTTTCTAGCAACCTACAGGCAACCCTAGAAAATATCCCGCGCCCTAAATCAGGATGGAATCAGCAGATTCAGCTAGACGCTTCGAATACATTGTATCCTGTCGCCCGGCTTTTCCGTACGAACATGACCGAGATGCCTTCAGGGGCTACTACCAGTGGACCTTACGACCCGAGCTGAACCGACTCACACCACCTACCTCCAGAAACCCACGATAGTACACTGTGCGCATGCATGAAAGAATAGTCCAACGAAGCCTGTACATCTCGCCGAAGTTGGTCTGATCGACTTATAGGCCTGGTCATGAAATGGTGGTTCCATCGATCCTCCCCCTATTCCGCTAAGACGCTTCATTATATCAAGGAATTTGCTCGGCTGTGAGGTATTTACCTGATGTGTCATAGACACCACCGACGACAAGGTCAAGCTATATGCCCACACCCCGAGAAAAAGCAACTAACTGTCCATACTTGGCCAGATCTGAGGAAAGCTGACTGGAACCTCTAAGTACTTCCCCGTAACTATGTCAATTTCGAGTATTATAACGAGGCTTGCTTGGTGAACTAACGTGCAGCTGACGGATGTCATTACTGTCTCATTGCATGCCCTTCTACTCTGATTTACGACATTATTACGTCGCGAAAGGGGATTTGCTAATTGTGAAGAGAATGTCTCATCTTCGTTGTTGATTATATCAGTTCATTCAGCTCTAGAAATCAACTATATAGGAGGCGTCTAATGTACCTAGGTAAGTATCATGCACAACTTGAGTTTAAAACGAAACTCCTACAAAGTCTCAATAGAGTGATATTTCCTACCTTAACCAACTCGGGCAAATTTAGAAACTTTACGAAGCGAGATCATGAGATCCTAGTTTATAAAGGTTGCCTACTTGACGCATACTCTTCGTATCGTAATACCGAACGTTCCAACGGCTTACTTCAAGAGACATCTTTCGATTCTGCAGATTAACGAGACTTGGAAATTACTTCGTCAAATCGAACCACATCCCAACTGTAGTTTCTAGCTTCCTGTCTAGTCTTTGACCTCTTCCCTGCACTGATTAAGAAAACATGCTATTTACACAGCTTGATATTGTTCGTTCCTTCCAAACGCCCCTATGGCTTGGGACGCAATTCCCAACGCCGTTTTGCATCGTACATGATAGTATCAATATAAAGAGCATTCCGGTGATAAGAAAGGCAATTTTGCGAGCAAATCACCTCGGAGAGTCGTGCATGTGGCCTCTCTGCGCAAACGTCGAAACCTCGAATTACCGATAGAGTTTTTATAAACGGGCTTCTTCCAACCAATATGATCTTTCCCACGTTCACGTTTGACGTTACATGCAGCCCCTTGCAGGTCTTCCATAGGTTTGTATTGTGCATATTATATGGGATATGGGATATGGGATATAGGAGATATTTTCCGGTGTCCTTGCAGCTCTACTTACTTGGGCTACTCAATAGCACATTGCATCTAGATTATCCCTTGCCGCCAAGACTCGCCTCATGTCGGCTGCGTTGGTCACCTACCATGGGATGGGTAATAAATTGCCAAACGATGCGCCCACGACAAAGTCGAAATGTATGGATCCTACTTGACCTACTTGGTGCTTATGTTGCAATTCGGGACTGGGATGTTGCTATTCCCTCCTCTACTACTACACACACTCCCACTCCTTTACCTAACTCGCTCATTCTCAAGAGTTGGCATTAGCTCAGCTACGCAAATCTTGGACGGCGCGAGCTATTCAGGTTTTCCAAAGCTTTACTTTAGGTAGTTTAGTTGTAACTTATATGCCTCAAGTTGTCTTTCTCCTCACGAAGCTAAACTACGTAAGGGATGGTAAACTGTATACCACCTGCGTTGGGTACTTCTTCAGGCTTCGATTCTTTAACGTGGGACCCGCTTCGAGAAGAGTCATTGGCATGCCTAGCATAGTCTCACAAACTCGCGTGGATCTTTTTTTTCTCTCTTTTTTTTACAGTGTAACTAGTTAAAAACACAATATACTGATATAATATAATAATAATAACGTAACGTAAACCTTATACATAAGACAATATTATAGGAAAACGTATTTTGCAGCTTCTTAATTAAGTTACCTACCTCCTAATCAGCTCCAGATCAAATCCGGATTGGCGCGGGATGGGAATTGGTGATTACCGTGAGATTTTACATAGGACTCGTTGGCATACAGTATGAAATACGTCTCCGTTCGTATTAAGCAGCACAACCCGCGCAGCCTCACAGTTTACATAGCAGATTGTCTCACAAGGAACAACTCGACAAGGTAGTTGATTCGACGGAGAAGTACTATGTAAACGATTAGATTGAAGTCTAGATAAGGATGGAAGCCCATTGGACTAGAGCGAGGTACCAACTACTGATACCGACAGCTTGTTATTTCCATTAGCCAAGCGAGTTCCAACCGATTAGAAGCGAACGCGGGAGCCCTGGGTCCCTGATATCGAGGGCCCCCCCGCGGATAAGTCCGGTCCCGATGGTGTGTATATCTGCCTGCAGGCTAAGCCTGTGAGTCTCCAGAACGAGGCAGAAGGGTCGGAGCAGTCCGACCAAACAGCAGCTATCGGGTGCCGCACCTGACCATTAAACCAAGCTTGATGTACAAGCCCTGGATCAGCAAAAAGAGCTCCCACGCCTTTATATCGCTGGCGTGGCAAATCCCACTCGACAACTTCGGGGCTGACTGTTTTTAGCGTATAAGCCGGTTTGTTAAGGGATGACGATGATGTGAAGATCGAGGTGGGGGGGAAAGAAGAAGGCAAAGCGAAGGGTTGGCAAGCTCTGCTTAACAGACGAGTCGACTAATATAGCTTCGGTCAACGACTACGAAAGCCCAAATCATACGAGAAAAAAAGGACATGCTGGACGCGCGCCGGCTCTTTCTGTAGGAGCTTTGCCCCGTATCCAGCTTCCAAAGAATGTAGGTGCTACACCGAGGAGAAGCTCTCGAACTTGTTAGTGAAGCTTTGTCTAAGAACATACATCTCTGCCGATCAATGGGACACCACCACCACCACCATCAACTGGGGTCGCACAACTCCAACACTGTATACCTACTCTCTTCTTCCCCCCCCCGCAATAATCTGCATCCTATTCTATTCTGAATGGATGACCAGCATGTGATAACAAGGCCAGAGCCAAACCCTAGCCCACGCCCGCGTAAAGCGCCAGGTCATCCACAACCTCATAGGACGATTACGTACGGACACAGCTCGTAAAGGAGGGTGAAAGCGACTCCAAGGGATTTCGTCTGTAGCTATGTCTTGCAGCTTAAAACGACTATTTAAGGCCATCAAGCTCCCCCCTT